GTCATCTGGCCTGGAAGTTCTGCTCCTTAAACCCATGTAAAGTAAGCTGTGGTTGGTCATTAGTAAGGAGGAAATCCATCAACACTCACAGTCACCTTCCTTTGATGTTTTCTCAAATATTTAATGGCATTCAACCTTTGAATGTGAAAGCAGCTTCTGGACCTGAGGCCTGGCACAAAATGTTCAACATTTTGTACCAACCTGCCATAAAAATATCCTTCAATTCTAAAGGGGGTGGGGCTCTAATTGATTCAAAACATCTTACTGAGCAAAAGGTGATTCCAAATACTTGGACCTCCTTAGCCTTAGGTTTGGCATTCTAGAACTTGGGAGCCCAAAACATCAGGAAGGGCAAAGGTTTCCTACTCCTTTAAAGCACCAGAGAACATCAACCACAAGTCCATGCTTCCAGCTCTGGCAACCACAACTAAAACGTCTCACAGAACTATCTGTATTTCCTTTAAAGCACTGGTTTCCAACCTTGGCTCACCAGGTGTTCATGGACTAAAATTCTCAGAAGCTTCCACCACGAGATGTGCTGAGCAAGATTTCTGGGATTTGCAGTCCAAGAACATCTGGAAACTCAAGGTTTGGAAGCACTGCTTTAGAGTTTAAGAGTGGGAAAGATATTCATGGTATGTTGAGCTTATTTGTTCAAATAGGCAATCTAGACTACAAAATTAAACATCTGTACATTGTAATTGTTCCTTGACATTTAATCAGCAGCTTTAGTACCACCAGTCACTTCACTCTGCCTTTTCTCTGCCTGCACTGACAGACCCCTGTAGTTCCCTGAGGTAAGAACACTGTTTTGTACCTGCTGACTCCTCCACTCTACATTTACTCCTGCAACAACACTGTGAAGGAAGGCAGGCTGAAACACAGTGACTGGCCCAAGGTCAGTCAGTCAGTTTTACTGCTCCAGGGTGACCAGCACTCAATTCTCCCAGTCCAGCATCCTAACCCTTATACTACACTAACTGCTCCACATGGTAATTTTAACTCCACTACTTACTAGAAATTTAAATATTTTAGCAACCCTAAGCACGCTTATTTAGAAGTTAACCCCAATATGGTGTGTAGCTAGGAGGCAGGAGAGCTGGCTTCAAACTTCACTGTGCCATACAAACTTGGGGTGGCGAACACCTCATATACTGCCAACATAAATTGGAAACAGCTGTAGGGCGCCCAACAAGACCCCAAAAAGCATTTAGGACTTGCTTTCTGGGGAAGTGAAAAGACGATTTCCCTCGTTGTTTGAAACACACCGTGTTAAACCTCTTTCAGGAAAGTAACAAGTGGAAAGAATTTCACTCTCTTGACTTGCACCTTCCCCTCGTCTATGCCCCGCACTTGGAGGTGGGGGAGGATAGTGGAGCCCCTACTGCCTATTGGATGCTGCGTTTGCCGCTACAAGCCCGCAGCATTTAGGAGAGGGGAAACGAGACACGTAAAGAACCGCCCCGAGTTACGCGGCCAGAGCTTTCCCTCTAGCCAAGGAAGGAAGGAAGGAAGGGACGAGCGGAGGGCGCCGCTCGGATTCTAGAATCTCGGCACTTCCGCCTCTTCCCCATTTAACCCTTTCCCGATCAGGCGACAGCGATGGAATTAGAAAAGTCTCTGGCAGCTTCGCGCAACCTCAGCCGATGTTTCTACACCTGTGGGAGGGGAAGTACAACGGCTGCAGATGCAGAAGAAGGGATAGCGCGAAAGGCAGGGAAAGAGACACTGCCTGCCCGGATCCAGACTGTGTGCCCGCCTCCGCCTGCCCTCCTCCTTTCACCTCTGCCTTCAGAGGCTCTCTTAGGGCATTTTAGTCCCTTCCCTTCCTCCTCTCTGGCAAAGGGGCGCTACGCGTGCATATATGCAATCAATCCCCAACCGATTTAGTTCCCATTTTTTCGCAAGGAGCAAAATACCTAGAAAGACACAGAAAGGCACCAAGAGAAAAGTGTTTTTCAATTTAGAAACCCGGGCGAGCTGCCTGACAACTTTATCAAATATAACTGAGCATGGATTATGTCAGTGATGGCCATGAATATCTGAGATTGAGGGGCACACACTCCGTTAGGCCTCTATAGGCTGGTGGGGGAAAGATAAGGATGAAGGAAGTTCCCAGCAAGGCTTCGGGTTGGAGACGGGACTCTGCTTGGGGCATAAAACTGGGGCCCCGACCTCAGGGCCATTTAACTTGCTAGCAAGTGGTTCAGAACTCAGCGAAACTGACGTCTGAGTTTAACACGCTACCCACAGATGGTGTCCGGCTGTGGATCTACCACAGGTGAAAAGGCGACAGGCTAGCTGGTGAAGGACGGCTCCCTCTCGCTAATGGTTGAATCAGGGAATCAGAACATGCCAAGGATTGGCGCTGGACTGGGCTCAGTTATAAAGAAGAAAGCGGGAGAAGCCGCCCTTGAGCAGACACAAACTTGCACTCAGACGTAGTACAGTTACAGTAGTTAAGACTGGCACAGCGACTCCATCAACATTTGGGATTGTGACAGCTTCCAAAGCAAATGGCATAACTTCTTCATCTTTAACCCTACTAGCACTTCTCTTTCGTATTTTAGGATTAGACCTCAGGGACAATGCAGTGCTTTCCCCCCCCCCCGCGCGCCCCAAAAGTGGTCTTGAACTGCAGGGACTCCATAGGAAACTGAAGTGCCATCTCGTGTTTCTTAGAGGGCTTATACCTTCATCAAGGTATCATCATCTTCCCCCGACCCGCTCGTGATTATCTTTTCTGGTAGCATTTGCTAAGAGAGTCACATGCGCCAGAGAGGGTTGCATCCCAGATACGGGTTGGCGCTCGTGAGAACACAAGCATCCCTCGCAACCCTTTTTATTCCGGCAGAAGGCTTCTCTGAAACCCACACTATATAAGGATGCCTTCGAAGGTGTCTCCCGTCCTACTTTTGTGGCGGGGGGGGGGAACACAAACCTAGCATCTTGAAGTTCGAGGTGAGGGAAAGTGAAGCTGGTCTCGAATTTGTTACTGGGGGGAGGGGGAGACTCTGCGGTCTTTCCCACTTGTATGAATGACAAGACACAGATATACAGTAGGGGGGCAAGCTCCACTCCCCGCATCCCATCTGTCCCCTGCCTTACAGTATATACAAAGAGCCCAAGGGTAATAACGGGGCGCTCCTGAGAATCCGCCGGCGGTCCTATTCGTTTCCTTCTCGGGGGTAAACAACCTAGAAGACGGGATTTCAAGTAAATGGATGTTGGGGGGGGGGGGGGGAGAGATCTCAGGTTTCCCTCGCCGCGAAGTCTGTCGCCTGTCAGGGTCAGACGAACAAACAGCCTCTGGGTACGATTCCTCCCTCAGCGCAACTACTCCCACCCACCCCCATTCCTCCTCCTCCTGGCTTTTTCCCTTTCCCGCACACAGGCAGCGCCGTGAGAGGTGGCGGGGGGGGGGGGAGAGCTCCCTTCCTTCTTTCTTCCTTCCTTAGCCCGGCTCCTTTCCAGCCCAGAAGAGCCGTTTCTTGGCACCTTTCCACCAGCCGTCAACAGCAGCAGCAGCCCCGAAACGGGAGAGGCCTTCTGGGTTTCCCGCCAACGCGGGAGCAAATGGAAGGGTACCACCACACACCGGAGCAACAAGGAGCGCGGGCGGGGGGGGGGCGAGAAGAGGAGCTTCGGAGCGGGTTGGACTGACTGGAGCAATGGCGCCGTTCGGCTCCTGAGAGGCAGCTTTGAGGGAGAAAGTTTTCTTCTCTGTTTTCTGTGGGTGGCTTTTAAACGGGAAAATTGATTCGTGTGAAAGAGAGGGAAGAAGCAGAAGAGAGAGAGAGAGAGAACCGCAAAGCTTATGGGCTCATCCGGATCCCTCCCTGTCCGGCTTGACTTCCTTCCTCTCTCACTCCCCACCCCACATTGCCCCAATTCATCCCCAGCAGCTGTCCTCAGACTTGGCCAAGGAAAGGAAGGGAAAGAAGAAGAAACCCACCGTGTCCTCCTCGCAGGGAGACCGGGGAGCGGTAGATAGAGATAGGCACGGAGTGATGCTTGCTGCCATGGAAATGATGCTCTTGCTGAGCCTGCGAGGCGGACGACGAGGAAGAGGAAGAAGAGGAGGAGGAGGAAGAGGCTGGCAAATCCACGCTGGAGGAGCTGCTCCACACAGAGCTGACGATACATCCCCCACAGAGGAAGCACATCCACAGAGTCCAGGCGGGGCAGCGTCCCGGTGCTAGTCTCAAGGCAATGCGATGCATGGCTAAATGCACGCGGGGTGGGTGGGTAGGTGGGGTGGGGGAGAGAAGGACTACGGACCACGACCACCGGGCGGTTCAGATTCCAGTTGGGTAAAGAGGAGATGGTTCATGATGCCGAGGGCCCCATCCTCCTCAGCTGCAGCGAAGACCAGAGTCGCTTCCGAAGTCGGAACGTGTAAGGCTACGAGAGGTGGGCCAGGAAAGGGTTAAGCAGCCAACCGACGCAAGAGAGAGAGAGAGAGAGAGCAATTTAAGCAAACCACCGCTGGATCCTCCCCGGATCAGGTTCGGCTCTTTCTTTGGATTCGGGCTCCTTTCAGACGCGCCAAGCTTCCAGGAGAGATCAGTGGAGCCACGCGCACGAGGAAGAACAGGATCTCTTTTCTGTCCAGTTCAGATTCCTCCTTCAAGCTGACAGGATACTCAAGGATTTCCCTTTTACCGTCCCTGTCCCCCTGCTTTAGCTGGAGAAAGGAAAGGGAGGGATTTTTTAAAAAAAAATAATAATAAATAAGCCAGAGACCTTGCTCCGATTATGAATCTTTTTTGTAGTTCATCCCAATTCCAAGTTGCTGGTTTTGGTTTGTTGGGTTGCTTCTCCGCCGGCAAATGTTGCGCTGCAGACTCGCTCAGCCCGTTTTTTGTTTTTTTCCCGCTCTTTCACACCTACATGCGCGCGCGCGCCCCCGCGCACATCCACCCAAGCACACGGGCACCTCTCCACGAACACGGCATCGTGCGTTATCCTGGGATCCGGGCAGCAGCAAAGCGGAGGATGATTAACAGCGCGTGCTCTGGAATAAAGCTTGCCAGGTCTTCCCGCGTAATTGAAGAGGAGAGACTCAAGAAGCAAAGGTAAAAAAAAAAAAAAAGGAAAGAAAAAAGAAAGAAAAAGAAAACCAAAGGAAGAAAGGAAAAGAAAAGGGAGAGAGAGAGGAAGGAAAGTCCAGAATCTACAAGAGAGCTAGAAACGGCGCTCCCTCCCTCTTTGCCCCCCTCCCGCCCTTTTAAGGTGGAACAGGCTGCTCAGGGCCAGCTCACTTCAAGTGAAGGCAACTAGGAAGCCCAGGTGAAGTGAAGCGAGGACTTAGGAAGCCAAATTCACAAATGGGCGAGCCGCATGCAAATTGGATCACTCCAGAGAGCGAATCAGTGTCGCCCAAACACCCTGCAGAGGGACTGGCTGATGCCCTGGAAAGGAGGGGTTGAAGTCAGAACCAGCAATCCCACCCCCTCCATTCATATACAGCTTCTACTCACAAAGCAACCCCCTCCACACACACACATACTATCTGCCTTTCCCCCCCTCTCATGCTGCTTTAGCTGCTGGAGCTGAAACATAGGAAAACTGACAAGGACGGTAATCAAACCTATTAGTCGCATCCAACTGGGATTATTATTATTATTATAAATTATGATCATCAATACAACCCTACCTGTGCAATCAATACAAGTTTTTTTAAATTAATAAATGTTGGCAGAAGATTCCGCTCCACAGCTGATATGAGGTGCATTATTCTCCTAGAAATCCCTTTCATCTGGATTTCTTCGAACAGCAGTCTAAGAGAACACTTGGTATAATCCTCCTCCTAATGTCTCATCCATCTGACAGCCTACACCTCACCGCCAGTGACTTGGGGCCGGGAGGGGACAAATGAAGAGCTCTAACATAAAGGGTAAAAAGCCCACACATGGTAAAGTATATAAGGTGAGAGAACAGACTGAATTTTGTAAGTGTTGGAGTGTTCTGTCTCTCTCGCACTCACAGACTTTTGATTACTTTTCGATACAACTGAGATTCTGCCTTTTAGAGCAGGGGAAAACTAGCCTTTGCAGACAGAGGAGAGGAACCATCTCTTCTGCAAAAGCACAGCACTGGACAACACGCTGATGTGCCATTCTGGAACCCCCAAAGGGTGTTTTGGCTGCATTCCAGTCCCATCCTGACCCTTTTTCAGAAATGGCTTTTTGAAATGTAATTACATTTTTATTGTTGCCAGCCCCAAGGGGTAGAGGAAACAGGAGATAGATCTTTATTTAGGCAGAAGAAGGGAGAGGAAAGCAGCCTAAAGGCAGGCAGAAAGGAGGAGCTGGATAAAGAGGGGGGTGGGGTGTAAAAGAAGTTGTGTTCCCCCCCCCCAAGAGTATCTTGTCTACAAGGAGGTGCATCAGATATTCCTTCTCTTAATGAATATATAAATGAATTGAGAAGGGGAGTATTTAGATTGCTTTTAGAAACCCTCTCTATCTGCTTGGTTCCTGTAGTAGGGTTATGAGCAAAAGGATAGGACCAGCACTGTTGGCTAACTTGTCTGTGGCACAGATTGGGGCTTTAAAGTGGGGATTTTGAGCTGGATCTCATTGGGATCTGTTGCACTTAATAGCAAAGAGAACCTTGGGGAACATGGAAAAGGCAATGTAACTTACAAAAGGGGGGGATGTACCAGAGTGCATTGGGTGTTCAAGACTAGGTGAAGCAAGAGGCAAAAGGGAAATCAGTAGTAACTGTGCTTGTTCAACGCCTTTTTGATGTGAAACAACAAATGCTATCCCACCCATCCACCCACCCAGCTAAGAAAATTATTTTCACACCTGAACCTGAAAACCCCACAAGCAGCCCTCCATCACGCTTCTCTGCAACAAAAATACAATCATAATAAATTAAGTAGCTAAAAACTAGGAGCCAATTCATGACTATGAGTAATTATTTTAAAATCTGCATTCACTGACAATATTTTCCCCAATGTACACAAAAACAAAATGCATCAAGGTTTTCATATAACGTACTCTAAATCGCTGCACTAAACGTAAATCTAAATTATAATCCAGTCTGATAGTTTGGAATGGAGAACAAAGTGAAAATTCAGTATCTAGCTATAATTCATCACTTCTGTGTCAGCCCTACATCCCATCCAAAAGCAAATTCCCAACCACTGCAACATAATAACAATCTGGGACAAGGGATGTTGCTGCTTATGTTCTTCAGCTTCTGTAATTAATTTATTTTATTGGACTTCTACCCTGCCCATCTAGACCAAAGGTCTACTCTGGGCGGCAGAGAAAATTTAAGAGAAAATTAAAAATTCCTGCATCCTTAATGCTGTATTTCAGTGGCTCACAGTGCAATCCTATACATGTCTGCTCAGAAGTAAGTCCATCTTTAATGGGACGGACCTCCAGCTAAGGAAGTACAGAGAATCGCTGCCTTACGATCTTGCATAGTGAATTTGGAGATGTTAATTGTAATATTGTAGCAATTTGTCATTTCCTCTAAACCTCTTCAAAAACATTTTCTAAAAATAAAAATAAAATGTAACACATATTTGCAAGTTTCCATTTTTAAAAGAAGGCCTTCCTTATGAGGGACAATCATGGTCTCTGTAAGGAAACCCTAGAAGATTTGCAGTCACAAATGTAGTAGGCAGCTCTGTCTCAGTTTTCTTTTATACTGGAAGAAAAATGCATGAGAACCTGGCCTGCAGCAGAACCACATGGCTACTTGCCTGCCTATTTTGGTTATAAAAGACTGCCATATAAAGCAAAGCGTGCTGCTTATATACCGCCCCATAGCGCTTCAAGCACTCTCTGGGAGGTTTACAATTGAATTATGCAGGCTACACATATAACTGGGAAGATCACTTATACATCCTCTCCCTCAAAAAGAGCAAATGCACCCTCCTTGAAAAGGGCCAGAAAAAATTGCACATGGGAACATGTATGCATAGATGCATATTTAGGAGGAATTACTAATATTGTAGTAATAATAATACCGCGCATTTCCAGGGAAGACTGCGACCAGGTGTCCCAAGTGCCTCCTCTGTCTGTGGTTCTGGTGCTGTTGATTAAAATTTGTAGCCCTTTTCTTTTGTATGGTTCTTTACCTTTAAATTGGATTTGAACCAAACAACCGTATAACTATAAGGCTGCCTTCTGTTGGGGTGATTGCAATGTCACATGCTTCCTCAAGAAGGTTTGGCTGGGGTGACTTTTCTGATCTGGGGTGACTGTCAGTCACTAACAACAATAACCAATAGTTCCTTCCCTAGCCCTGATTCAATGGGAACTCTGCCTCTCAGCTCTCCCTCTCAGTAGTCTGTTGGAAGTCTGTTGAAAGCAGTGAATCTGTTGAGGCCTGTTGTGGAATGTCAATCAGCAATGTTTTGTAAGTTTGATCAGATTTGTGAGTAATGAAACCTTTTGTTCTCTCTATTACTGGTAATGACTTGGAGTGAGTTATTGACACCGTAAGTGCCAGTTGATGAGAAAAAAAAGTTGTGGTCTACTCTGGGGAACTTGAAGCTAATTCTGCTCTGGGAATCTCTGCAGTTGTCCTGTGCCGCTAGAGGAATTTAAGCAGAATTTCAAAAATCTGCAACAACAAATAAGCTTTTCTTCTGTAAAATATGATCATGTTCAATATTATTCTAAATGGAGTTAGATGAAATAAACCATGAACATTTACTGTTTTAAACTTGAATGGGCAGAATGGCAACCCCTTTCAGGAGTGGGGAACATCTAACTGTTTAACTCAGAATTTGAAAGCAACTTGCTACAAGCAATATTATTACAAATTTTTCTTGTGTAAACAATAACGTTTGTTTATCCATTTTCCTCATTGGTGGAAGGTGAGGCTAAAACATTTTCCTGATGAGTTTTTTTCCTTCAGTTTCTCTCTCTCTCTTTTAAAAAAATAGCTAAGATAAAGAAAAATGTGACACACATTAATACAAGTTAGTGTGTTTTGGAACAGAAATGGCAACCCATTACTCCCTGGGTTTTTTTATTAACTAATTGCAGTACAAACTGAAAAGTAATTTTCAAATCTCCCCTGTATATGTTGTTGGAGAGCAAATCTCATTAGCCCTAGTTATTATAGTGAGACTTGGAGGCAGCTGTAGTTCAGCAACATCTGGAGGGACATATAATCCCAACCTTTGCTCTTGCAGGAGTAACAGGAAAGCCAGAAAGAGCATGAGATATGTGTCATACTGGGACTACCAGTTGCAATGGTACTAAATGTCCCTCATGTTTCAGGAGTATTAAATGCAGGCAGAAGCCACCTTAATCATGCACGGTGAGCTACAAAATGGTGGGTGAGCTCTATCAAATTGGAAAAGGGTCTCTGATTTTGACAAGCACCATGCAGAGGCTTAAAGAATGTTTATAAAAAGTAAATTAAAGCCAACAATGCAAGGCTGACTATAAATACATCAAGGAATTTCTGGTGACACCATAAAGCACTGGGACTTCACTCTGGTTTTGTTTATTTGATGTCAGTGGATATATTTACTGCTTCGTAATTCATGGGTGACTCATATATCTCGCAGCATCATCATTACAGGAAGGGGCAGATTTCAATTGTATTTTCCCCCTCTTGGGTACACTAGAAGATAATGTTTGAATAATGCTGTTCAAAGGGATTTCCAGCTTTGATATCATCATGTGTGTGTGACTAAGGCAGAGACAGAGAAAAGACACAGGTTAAGAATATTAGAAAACTATAAAATTAGACATTCCTAATGAAGATTTCCCTTATCTCAATGTTTTACAACTAGCAACATGACTTTCAAGTGGTTAGAATGTGCAAAAGTTTCTTTTTGGGGAAACTAGAATGCAAAGAATCTCATAACCAGCGTATCCAGTGGCTCAGCTTACTGGGGAGTGGGGGTTGGAGACTTTCAACCAAAAAATATCCCCAGGCATGGGTATGTAAATATAATCAGTAAAGATAGGCTGAGCCAGGTATGCATGCTTCTTCAGCTGGTTTTGCTCAAATATTTTTGGCTCTTGGCACCGGTTTTTACAAGAGTTGCCACCTACTTTTCTGATATTGCTCCTCTGTCAAATCAAACTGT